TTCGAACACACTATTCGCTTGTGTTCACGGAACAGTGAGGTTCACAGAAGCCTCTTGACAGAAAAACATTAAAAACATGATTGGTTGCTATCAAGAGGTTTTCTTCTTTTGATATTTACTCTTGTGAGTCTGCTGCCGTTTAAACGCAAAGCTTACGTGAAAGGCTTTAACCTTGATTTTTTTATTTGTCTACTTTCCTAGTCTCAAATTAATATCTAATCGCTTTCCGGTCGACCTCGGTAGACGTCCCATTCTCTTGTAAAAAAAAACTATGTAGAAAATGGTAGGAAAATGTCGACATAATAAATCGAGACCCGTCCGTTTAACAGAGCACTTTGTTCTGATAGATTCAGATTTCTTACTCTCCTCATGTGTTGTGTTCCCAGGTCCAATTGAAAGTGCCACTTTTCAGAAACTGCCATTCGGAAAAGTGGGTGTAAGTAAAGCGTTGGCCTCTGGTTGGATCAACATCGACAAAAGTGGCGGAGCTGTCCGCTTGGTAAAATCTTATGCGTTCCATTCTTTTAATAATTTTCTTTTTTCTGCATGACTTTTTGTCTGTTCATAGAAGATACAAGAGAGTCATGATTACCTCTCCAGTTTCTAATGGAAGACGTGCGTTTCTCCTCCTGGGGTCAGGTCACCACAGTTGCGCGATCATTGAAGCTTAAGGTTAAGTTTGGGTTTAGACTTAGGTTAAGGCTTATGCTTACACATTGGCTAAGCCTATGATTGGGCCTAGGCTTAGTCCTAAGCTTGCTCCGAGCGAATGAACGGCGTCTCAATTTCAGGTGACCTGACCCCAGGAGGAGAAAGCTACGCACCCGTTTCAGATATGCTTTCACTTAACTTTGTTAACTTTTAAAGTATTTAATAGTCAGTTTAGCTCCGAAAATGTGATGACGTTGTTGATACCGTACGTGCTCAGCTGGACGCGCTGAGTCTAGGGAAAGAAGTTGATGCCAAAGCTATTGCTGAGCTTAAGAAAAGGAAGCTCGTATCGGAAGTGTTAGTTTATCCTGAGCTTGGACTTATTTTCCAATGACCTTAACTTTTTGCTCCTTATCGCTCCTTATAGAGCCAGTCAGTGTAACTTGAGCACGTAACATCATTCAATTCATGATCACCAGTGAGTGATGAAAATGATTGCAAAATGGAAGAGTGTTTTTTCCAGGCTAACAAAGTACATCATTGTAAGAAAAGGCCCGAATTTCACGACGAACATCAGCAAACCTGAAGTAGACTTGACTCCGGAAATGATTGCTTCGTGAGATTTTGATTACTAATTATTTTTATAAATGTCGTACTTATTTTCTATCAAATCAGATTCAGTGGAAGGTCGAAAAGAAGGAAATCGATCATCACATTCATGATTTTTCAGCGGTTCATGGAAATCGAAAACGTTTAAGCAGTATAACTTTGATGCCCTTGGTGTTCAGCCTCCATGTGGACATTTGCATCCGCTGATGAAGGTAAAGGAAATTCATATAAATGGCAACTAAAGTAGTGCTGATAACAGTAGTGAGCATCGATAGTTCAGGTTCGGTCAGAGTTCCGGCAAATTTTCTTCTCGATGGGTTTTTCGGAAATGCCAACGAATCGCTATGTAGAGAGTTCGTTCTGGAATTTCGACGCACTTTTCCAACCTCAACAACATCCAGCAAGGGACGCTCATGATACATTCTTTGTCTCAGGTATTGTATTCATGCTGGCAACTGTTTCGAGGTTTTTTTCCGCTGATAGTTGTTTTGATCTTTCTTGGAAATCTTTCAATGGATAAAGTTTTGAAAGTCTCATTTTTTGAACGTGTTCATTTACTTAATAGTTGCAGTGTAAACTTCTGAAATGTGAATTATACAGATCCTGCTTTGAGCACCGTCTTTCCGATGGATTACCTCGAACGTGTGAAAACAGTTCACTCAAAAGGAGGATATGGATCCGCCGGGTTTGTTTCTTCTTCGTATCATTTCAATTCAAATCAATAGCTTTTGAACAAATAACGAAAATTCCTTCCTCAGAAATGAGTAGCTTAAGTGCTGGATTTACGTCAGGTAAAGTATGCTAAACTTTTTTTCGTGCCAATGTTGG